GAAACCAACCAAAATTCAAGAAAGTCAGTATACTTATGAATATCCAAGACACTGGGTAGAGTATGTAGGAGGTGAGAAAGCTATTGAAATCAGACAGGTTCGAAGTATTCCAGCAGGAAGACAATATTATTGAAGAACTTTAATGTTTTGAGGTATAATGATGAAACAAAGAAGCAAGATAGTTTTCCTGTTGCTGTGTATGTGAACCTAGACACAGGAGATGACATGAAAGTTTTTAACACAAAGCTTCAAACGGTAGTGAGAGAACAACTGACTGCGGAAGGGCATCCATTACCTTCAGAAGTTACCATAGCATATAATTTTGAAACAAACTCAATAGATTTTAAAGTCATCTCTGCAAAGAAGTCAGGTTTTACATTTAATGAAGCAGATGTATATTCGAATGAAAACTTCAAAGCTATTGCATGGTTAGATAATGACGATTGCTTTAAGAAAATATTTAAATTCAGTGACTCAAAGATGTCAATAGATGACCTTCGTGGAATGTTACCATCGACGTTTACAGTAGAAGGTTCAGCAGGATTGCTTACAAGATTGTCAATTGGTGGTATTTGGTCTCGTGAGAACATTGTTATAAAATCCAGTATAAGTGAATTTGCTGAAGAATCTATATTATGTCTTTCAAACTACATGTATTCGCCGCCGAAGCATTATAGTATAACAAACTTTGTCAGTAAGTTTAATATAAGACTTGTTGAACCTTCTTCAATGAAAGATGTTGTGCTACCTAAAGATGGAAAGGATGGACTCATTATTGAGATGATTTTAATAGCATATTAAATGAGCTTGTTCTTGAAGGTCATTCATGATGAAATAACTGTTGTAGAAGATGTTAGCAATTGTTCAGACATTTTATTGAGAATAGATGATATAAGAAAGAAGTTTATGAAGCCGCAACGCGGCGAGGACGAAGTCCATGAGAATGTTTATGTTTCATTGACTTTCTCCAGTAAAGAGAACTTTTATGAGATAATATTGAAGAGAGATGATTTTAATATGGTGTAAATGGTAGCTTGGGCAGCTTTAGGCGCAATGGGAACAAAAGCATTAGCATTTGGAGCAAAAGCACTTGGAGCTTATGACGCAGTAAATAAAATGAGTGGAGGAAGAGTTTCGAAGACATTAGATGCAAATAAAGGAAAGATTGGAGGCTGGGTTGCAAAGAAGTTAAGATTAAATAAAATAGGGCTCATAAATAAAGCATCCAATTTGGTTGCGACTGAGTCAGAAAATGCTTTAGGAAAGGACGATGAGTTTGCAAAACATGCAAAAGACTTTAATGACCAGATGAAAGGTGAAACAATGCATTTAAATAGAGTCGATGGAACTCTTCCTCCACCAGCAGTTCTTCCGTATGGTCCCTATGGAATGTATGGAAACCCTTACGAAAGACCATTTGACCCATTGACTGGTGGAAGTAACTGGTATCATTACGGACGAAGAAGAAAGACAGTCAAGTTGGAGACAGACGTGAAGAAAGCAACTAAAAAGAAACCAAGGAAGAGAGTTATAAAGCAATGAATTCATGAGGTGAAAAAAGAGGTGAAAAAAGAGGTGAGATATCACCACTTCACCTAAATTTATTTTTTCACCTCTGACAACGTTTATTTTTAAGTTTATTTTTTAAGTTTATTTTTATATAAATGACGAAAACTATTGAGATAACAAACTACAACGGTCATGAGTTCAAGAATTTGTTCTTTGTTCCTCGTGAAAATACATTCTATCAGATACGAGGGAGAAAGGGTAAAGTTAGTTTAAGCATTTATGAAGGAATGAAGAATGGAAAGTTTATACAAGCATACGATACAAACGGTAAACGTGTTTCATTAGCTTTGTCAAAACTTACTAACATTTATTTTGACAGTAACTTTGACCTATATGAAGAAGAAAGTGAGTCAGAAGAATATGAACTGTTATGTGAAGCACAGCAATGGGAGGAGTTGCAATACTTTTGTAAGTGAGAACGTTTATTTTTTACATTAGTGAGTTCGTTAGTGAAGTGAAGTGGTTGGCGGTTTTGTAAATATTTAAGGTTAAGTTAGTGTTGTCGTTTGTGTTGTAAAATATACGTTAACGGTTTTGTAAAGTGTCAAATTCACAAGTATTGCGTACGGAGGAACGCAGTGCCACAGTACACAACTTAGGGATACTAACTCCGCACAACCTTAATTCAGTTCAAAAAAATCTAGAGTCCAATCTTCGAAAGAGCTCCTCTCTATATTGGCTGCGTATCAATCCAAGAAGTTTCGCTTTTTAGTAACAGGGGACGAGTCTTGGTTTCAATATGCAACAGAAGCCAAAATCATGTGGATCCCGAAGGATGAAAATCCGCAAACATTCCCGAAGAAAAAAATTGACACACCAATGATGATGTTGTCGGTTTTTTGGGGCGTGAATGGCATCATCGCAATTGATATTCTTCAAAAACCTAATACGATGAATGCTCAGTATCTAATTGACAATGTTCTTACTCAAATTATCAATTCTGATGAGTTTGAGAAATCCAAACAACAAAAACAAAAGTTTGCAATTCATTTTGATAATTCAAGAGTTCACAAAAGTCATAAGGTAATGAATTACTTGGTGGAAAACAATGTCAAAGTTGTTCCAAACCCAATTTATTCACCTGATATTGCACCCTCTGACTTTTATTTATTCGGCACGCTAAAAAAGAGAGCTGAAGGACGCGAATTCGCGAGTCCAGATGATCTTGAAAATTTTGTAAGAGAGCAATTTGAGCAATTTTCTCATGATGATTTAAAGCGTGTCTTTCAAGCCTGGATCGATCGCTGCGAACGCGTGATTGAATCCAATGGTGATTATATTTAAATAAACTTTATATATATGTAACTTGTTTATTTCTATTCGCAGTATTCAGGTTTGTGCTAAACACACCTTTGGACACCCTATATTTACTTTTATTTCTGGATTTCCTGCTACAATATCGGCTAGTTGACCTTCTAGAGAGTAAACTGAGGAAGATTTTGCAACTGAACATGAAATATTAACGTTCTTAAGAGTGTTTTCGCCGCTTTTATGTTGAATTGGTCCTGAACTTCCTTGACTTTTAATGATTGAAGATTCAATTAAGTAGTTTTTACATCCTTTGGATTTCGTTGCTTGAATAAATGAATGTGGAGTAAAATATCTATCTTCTAATGATGTATTATAACTGCATATTTTGTATTGAACGCATTGACCAAGGTATTGGTAAATATTTCCCCTGTGTGCAGAAGCACCACGGTTAGAATCAAAATTACATTTGGATAAATGAAGTTTATTATAATTGTCATTAGTTAGTTTTATAATTTGACCTTGATTTTTTTCAAGTAAAACGTCATGAAAATAAAATTGACCTTTTCCAGTAATAGTTCCTGTAAACGACGTGGATTGATTTGAATACTGCACATCGAAAAACTGATCCCATGTTAATCTTATCAAGTAAAAAGCCGTAGTAATTTAAGGGTTTATTTAATATCATATTAATATTTCGAAGTAATTTTATGATTTAATTATATTATTAAGGCATATACATCAAAATTATCAATTTGAATTTTTAAATCAATGTGTTTTAGCTAAACGAGTCCCTTTGATTCAAAGGTATAATGTTGTAAACAGAAATTCATCAAAAGTGACGCCTCAGAAAAGCTAAAATATTGAATTTTTGGAACTTTTGATAGAGCACGTTTTTAAATATTAATTAAAGTAAATGTATATTTTGTAAAGATTCTTTTTAATAAAAAAATAAAATTTTGAAGAAGAACACAAAATCTTCTGAAAAATAATATCACATAAACTCATATTATTTTCTAATATATAACTATTTTATATAAAAATCAAATTCAATGATCTTAAAAGCGAAGGATAAACCTCAAAATTTACGAATATAATGAGTGGGAATATAATGCTTATCTATCATAAACCATATGAAATATCAATTTTTGCTTTACGCCTAATTTTTGACGACAATTAGCAAAAAATGTTAAATGTTAACACTCAGTCCATTTGAATATGAAAAATAAAATTGACTTTGATTAAATGTTTTTATTTATCATGCAATTCTTCTTGCGACCAAAGATTTGAATAAAATTTCAAAAATAAGATAGCTTAAAAAATAATATACGGTAGTGTTTACTAATAGATGAATAGTATATAAATTCTATTAAAATGGATTTGATCCAAAAAAATATAAAACCAAAAATAATTGTTATAATTTAAATGAAGAAGTAATTTAAAACGATTTTATTTATGATCAAATTTTATATATTTTTTTGGATCAAATCCATTTTAATAGAATTTATATACTATTCATCTATTAGTAAACACTACCGTATATTATTTTTTAAGCTATCTTATTTTTTGAAATTTTATTCAAATCTTTGGTCGCAAGAAGAATTGCATGAAATAAAAACATTTAATCAAAGTCAATTTTATTTTTCATATTCAAATGGACTGAGTGTTAACATTTAACATTTTTTGCTAATTGTCGTCAAAAATTAGGCGTAAAGCAAAAATTGATATTTCATATGGTTTTATGATAGATAAGCATTATATCCACTCATTATATTCGTAAATTTTGAGGTTTATCCTTCGCTTTTAAGATCATTGAATTTGATTTTTATATAAAATAGTTATATATTAGAAAATAATATGAGTTTATGTGATATTATTTTTCAGAAGATTTCATTCTATATGCCTATGAAAAGTACTCTCAAAACTAACTTTTTCCTAATTATAATTAAATCTAGAATATTGTATTATGCTTAGTATTATTTCATTTTTCTCATTCAATTTAGAATTTACAAATGTCAAAAAATTGAGAGCTGTCACTTTTGATGAATTTCTGTTTATTACAATAATAGCTTAAGTCGGAAATTATTGATTTTTGTATCCATCTGTTTTGGATATGGCTCAAAATGCATAGATGAAATAAAAAATTAAAAGTGACATTATCGATAAGAAACGTGACACAGAGAATGTCAGTCGAATTTGAAATTGTTCAAGTCGAAAATCCAAACGAGCTCAACTTAATCTTCGGCCAATCACACTTCATTAAGACTGTTGAGGACATCTACGAGTGCCTTATTTCCAGTGCAATGGGAATCAAGTTCGGTGTTGCCTTCTGCGAGGCTTCCGGCCCATGCCTTATCCGCAAGGCTGGCAATGATGACGAGCTTGTTGAGCTTGCTGTCAAGAATGCTCAAAAGATCGGTTGCGGCCACTCTTTCATCATCTTCCTCAAGAATGCATTCCCAATCAACGTTTTACACGCCCTCCGCACAGTCCCAGAGATTGTTAACTTCTACTGCGCTACAGCTAACTCACTCCAGGTCATCGTTGCTAAGACAGCACAAGGCCGTGGTGTTTCCAGCGTTATCGATGGCTTTGCACCAAAGGGTGTTGAAGGAGAGAAGGAAACACAGGAACGCAAGGACTTCCTCCGCATGATCGGCTACAAATGCAAGTAAAATTTCAAAATGATTTAAAATTTCTTGCAAATATTTATTTTTTACAACCAAACACTCGGAAGATAATTGAGTTTTATATTTATATTGATTTTTTAAATGAAATTTTCGTAAATAAATCAAATTACAAATGATAATAACAAAAAATAGTTTATGACAGTAAATATTACAAGCAAAATGAAGACAATATATAAATATGGGACACTTACATCCATCTGACACTGTTTCGTTTTTTGGGACTGATTTTTAATATACAACTATTAATATTTCATAAATTGAATATTTAAACTTGTGTTGCAGCATGATATATGTTTGCACTCAATTCGCCGTCATCCTTTGGCTCGCTCTTCGCAAATTTGAAGGCATTATAGAGTGTTGGAGAACAAAAAGCAAGACCGCAGACTAAGCCAAATGAATCTGTGAGAGGATAACACCAGAAAAGATGGACGGCGTCATTCTTTTTAACATAATACATCAATAATGAGAAACCAGTAATAGCTAAGAACTGTGAGGAAAATGAGAGGATTGTGGCTAAGCCACCTTTTTGGAAAGATTGAAGAATTGCTTGGCAATTAAAACGGCCAAGAGCAAAGCAACCTAAAGCGTTTCTGAATCTCATCATCGGTCCAGCCCATTTGAGATATCCATCTGATCTCGAAAACATCATTGAGAGCTCACGAGGAATTGTCCATGTTAATATTGTTGTGAAAGATCCCCAGAGGAAATTGATCCAAAATGCATGCCCAATGAGTTTTAGCCATCTTGCATGCTTGTTGGCAGCATGCGCGTATGATGCTGCTGGAACAACACTTTGATTAATAGCAATGAATACAGCATTTGTTAAATACTGGAATCTGATTGTTACGTTATATCCAGCAAAACCGTCATCATATTAATCTTTAGGAAGAGATAATCCAAGAAGCTTACGAACTATGATTGTAGGGACGAAATATGATAAGTTTGTTATAAGTTGAGAAAAGCCAACTTTGAGTGCTGGGAATGTGTGGGGAGAGAATTTCTTAAATAAATCACCTAGCTGTGGCTTAACAGCAAATATACCTTTGTAATACAGCCCAATAAGGATTAAAGCAGGGAATAATTCTGATAATACTGTAGCAAGAGCGGCTCCACGGACTCCAAGTTTGCCTACAAGTAAAAGAACTGGATCAAATATTAAGCCGTTCAAAACAAAAGATATAAGTTCCATTATGGCGAATACATGTGTTCTGCCTTCACCTTGAAGGAACCCACCACAGCATAAGAATAAGCATGTGCTAATTGAACCGTATGAAAGGAGAGAGATGTATTCAAAGCCAAATTCAACTAGACTTTCATCAGCACCAAACCATCTTGCAGCATGCTTGACTGTTGGAATCAGGATTACTGGTACAATTAAAGAACATATAATGGAACAGCGAATTAGATCGCTAAAAACTTGCTTAGTATCGGACTCCTTTCTTTGACCAAATAGCTGTGCTGTTTTCGTTGATGCTGCTGTGCACATGAAGAATCCAAATGAACGGCCAATGTTATCAAAACAATTATAAGTAGAAACAGCAGCCATACCACGATCTCCGCATGCTTTTGCCACCCAAATTGTATCAACAATTGAGTATAAGGCACCAATAACTTGAGAAACCATTGGACCCATGGATAAAAACAAAATTGTTGTGAGTGGTGGGCGGCCTGCTAATCTGTAGTGTTCCAGTTGCAAGTCTTTATCTTATTTTTGACCCAGTAAAGGTGTAGGATCTACCATTAATTAATTTGAACAATTCTTATAAATTGAAAAATCAATCACCAATTCAAAATATATATAAAAAGGCATATATTGTAATATCGTAATATCAACAATATATTTTAAAATGATTTCGGATTGATAGGGTAAATAAATTGAGAGAACTTATAGAATAAAATTTAACTTTGATAGGTGTAGACTTTTGAATTAATTCAATACTTTACAATAAAATTTTCGACACTTCAATTTATGTAAATAAGTGAATATTGTAATATCCAATCATCAATAATTTATTTTCCAATTATCCAAAATTGAAAGGGTTTATTAATTGAGAGACCTTATAGAATAAAAGTTAAAATTGATTAATATAGAAAAAGGCGACAAGGTTTATAATAGTAAATGATATAAAAAGAATGAATGCAATATATAAATATAGTGCTATTGACTTATTTTGTGACTGATTTTTAATTTAACTATTAGTATGACTAAAAATGACTTTGTATTGAATACATCATCTCATACTTATGAAGTTATATAAGGAAACATATTTGACTAATCTTTTGGAATAAGTATATAGTGAAAAATAAAAATTTGTAATAATATAAACATAAGAACATATAATATTTTATTATTTCATGATATAGGGGCTTGTTTTGGTATTGAACCACTATTCAATAAGAATTTTTCACATGCAGGAGTTTCGCACCAATCAATTGGCTTTGTTCCATCAGCCATGGCGTAATTCACATTAGCTCCATGTCTAACGAACAATTTAAGCAAATTCAAGTTATTTGCAGAATAATGCAACACAGACATTGATGATTTCTCAACCAATGTTACATCAGCACCTTTAGAAGTAAGGAATTCGCAAACATCATAATTATTTTCTCTTGCTCCTACCAAAAGTGGAGTCATTCTATAAAAACTTTGACCATTTATATCAGCACCATTTTCCAATAAAATCGAAGCACATTCAACACTTCCAGATTGAGCTGCTTTTATCAAAGGGGTTTCTCCAATTTCATCTCTTACTTCAATATTCGCTCCATTCTTTAATAGTATTTTAACACATTCAGGATGATCTTTGAGGCATGCCCAATGAAGAGCCGTTTGACCTTTTCTATCTCTTAGTTCTATATCTATGTTTTTGAGTGTCAAAAGAAAAGAAACAATTTCACTTCTTCCGTTTTCGCTGCTCGAAATCAACAAAGATTTTTGTTCTTTTCCTCTTTTCTTGTTAGGATCTGCTTGTCCGTCATCAACAAGATATTTACATACAGAAAGAGAACCACCAATAGCAGCCATTCTAAAGATAAAATCTGCATCAAATTCCATAGCATCATTATTATTCATCGTGTAAACAAAAACGGCCAAATTTTCAGAATTTATCATTGATTGATAAGTTATATTCAAATCTGCTTTGCTTTCAACCAAATAGTTGAACAACTCATATCTGTGTTCAGCGGAAGCGTTTCTAAGCATGTCAGAGAAGTCAACACCTCTTCTACTCAATGCGGAAACAATATGCAAAGAGCCACCATAGAAAGAACATGTTTTTATAGCACTGGAATCGATTTCTACGTTTTGCATCAACAAAAAATCAAAACAATCATCACTCCCGTAATGAGCACTTGCACAAATAGGAGTCATAAGTGTTGAATCACCATCAAATTGACCGATTTGTATCAAATTCGTCAAATTTTTCGGATTAATTTTGACTAATGATTTGAACAAAACAATATCATCGTTTTTGAGGGCCAAACCAACAGAGTTTTGTTCATATCCATATTTCCTCATGTATTTGTAGATCGCCCAGTCATTTTCTTTCAATTTGTTGATATTCTTTCTGATATTAGAAAAATGATTGGAATCTTTCAATGAATTCATTCTAGTGATGCCTAGTTCTGGTAAAAAGAAGTAAACAAGGTCTGTAAAGTTCTCTTGGCGCTTTCGGATCTCATCAATTGTAATTGTTCCGTTTTCATACATTTGATAGAGAATATTACCTTGTGCATTGGCAACAACAATCTTCTTAAAGGGTTCGCCAAAAGCTATGACCATTTTGGTGAAAATTTGGGAAAATAAAATTGAATCTTTTCCTCTTGGCTTCGAAAAGCAATGGATAAGCTTGAAAACTTCAAATAGGTTATCAATGTCAATAGTTAATGATATTATTTCGTTCACAATTGTGTTTAAATTGTCTGCTTTCAAATTATTTAAAAGTTGTTGGATTTGGATGTATTTCTTGAAGATTTCTGGTACGTGTACTTGCTTAAATAGATAGTCTGGTACTTCTTTTGCATCATCTATCAAAACTTCTGAATAAATATTTTGTTTTTTCTCTGTTTCTTTGTTTTTACTCTTTTTAACATCTTGTATAACAACATCTTCATCAGAATCATCATTATCATCAACAATTTCATATTTCTTCTTGATATTTTCTTCCAATTTTTCAACATCTTCGCTATCTGAGTATATTGCAATACCATACTCATCGTATGATTGGGAGTTGCTTTCTGATGTTTGTACTTTATTTAATTGCTTTGGAATAATTACAACTTCATTTTCATCGGAATCATCGTCTGAAGATTGGTTGTCAATGGCTTGTTGTATTATTTTGTCTAATTCTTGGTATTTTTTCTGTTGATTTGCGTTAATTGTGATTGATTCTTTATCAGATTTATCAGAATCGCTTTCTGGTGAAGGAGCTCGATTGATTTTGATTTCAACATCTTTCTTTCTCGTAGGAGTTTTTTTAGGAGGAGGTTTTTCGTTTGGTATTTTCTCATTGTCATCAGAACTATCCGAAAACGATATAGTTTTTTGTATTGGTTTGGCTATCCTTATAGTTCTATCCTTAATTTTACGCTCGACAATCTTGGATTTTGACAATGGCTGATTTTCCTCATCACTACTTTCAGCCGAACCCATCAAAAAGAAAGATAATCATTGGGAATACTCTTTCATTCAAATTTTATATCTGGATCGAATCTATGTATTGGATGATTCCTTAAAATTAAATCTCGAAATTTTAATATATATGAACAGCAATATTTTAGCCAAACTAAGGTTACACTAAGAAGACTAAATGATAATATGACTATAATTTTGATATTCTTATTTGACACTTCAAAATTGTCTCAAATCTGAGAAGCCTCACTTTTAGCTAGGTCCTGAAACATGAAAGTATGAGTGATTTGTCTAAAACTCATAATTTTATTAACTAACAACTAAAACCTAAATAAAGAACTAAAGAAATGTCTGAACGAAAGATATAATGATTTTCTGAAGTGATCTCATTAGGAAGAATAGTGATACGAATAGCACCTCTTCCCTTGTTGCCAATGCCACGTGCCTTCGGAGAATAGTAAAGCGGCATTGATTTATTGCCTTGAATCATCGTCGATCTCGTGAATAAGAGTCCAGAATAATGGATAGGCGAATTTGAAGGACTTGGAGTTTCATCGGCAGGACCATTCAGAGCAATGCATCCTTTATGTCCTGAAATAAAGGAACTTCCTCCACCGGCAGCACCGGCAAAGTCTATAGATGCACCATTATAATACCCATTACCGCCAACAGCTCCAAAATCAGGCGATGAATATTTCATCGGAGACATTCCAAACAAGCCAGGAATACCAGAGACTTTGTTCATAGTTGGGGCAGCAGTTCCTCCAGATGTTTGGCTTCCTCCGCCTGATATGAATCCAGGACATTGAAAAAGTGCATGTGTGCAATCGGATTTGGCAGATCCACCTTGAAGGCCACCACCGTTTCCTCCGGTATTTTTCTCCCATTCTGCACCTCCACCACCGCCCGATACCATGATTCTGGAGCGAAGTGATAGAGGATTTGACCAATCAAATGTTTTATTTGCATACAGACGAACATCAGATGATGCACCTCCTAAGACAAAAATGTCAGATCCTTTATAAAAAAATATCGAGTTAAAAAACGAAGTAGAACCAACATAAAGGTAAACAGTCAATGGTCTTCTAGTCTTTAGTATCCCGGATGTGTAACCGCCAAGACCTGGAACGGAAATTCCTGTCGCCCATACGTCAAAACCGCCTCTCGCACCCCAAGCTTCAAAGAGGTATCGTCCTGGATCAAGGGAAACAGTGTATGGACTACAGTCGTATTGATTATCTGGACATGGATATCCAAAAACGTACTGATCTTCATACTTTGTTAGAAAGTTTGTATTGGATCATTATTCATTGAGATATATATGTAGTTTTACTCACATATAGAAACTATGTGAACTTGGCATTCAATATATATTGGATTAAGACTTAACTTGAATATATCCTGCCAAATAACATCAAGCCGTTGTCTACGGGCGTGTAGCATCAATGGAAATACATACAATTTATATTAGATAATGCATACATATAATAAATAATATTCAAAACATGGCACATCAACTATAAGCGCATTAAATTCAAATTAGCTTTGTTAGTAATGTGAAATTAAATATATATAATGGATCATTGTGTATCCTTTTGGTATAAGGCATTATAAGTTTGTTGTGTTTTGAAAGAGAAAGGGAAAAAATTGCATGTTTATTAATATTAACTAACAATGAAAACAATCGAGAGAAGAAAATATATGTTTGAATGGAAATATCTGTGATTACATGAACAATCATTAGAAAGAATGGTGATGCGGATAGCACCTCGATCGTTGTTCCCGATGCCGCGTGATTCTGGATTATAGTAAAGTGGCATCGTTTGATTGCCTTGGATCATGATAGGATTAGTAAAGAATATTTTGGAGTAATGGATAGATGAATTTGATGGACTTGGAGTTTCATCGGTAGGACCTTTCAGTGCAATACATCCTTCATATCCTGAGATGAAAGAGCTCCCTCCACCAGCAGCGCCTGCATAATCGATAGATGCACCGCTATAATATCCATTACCTCCGACAGCACCAAAATCAGATGACGAATATTTGACATTAGAAATTCCGAATAAACCAGGAATTCCAGAGAATCGTGACTTCGTAGAGGCAGGAGTCCCTCCAGAGGTTTGGCTCCCTCCTCCGGAATTCAAATCAAAGCATGAATTGGATTCTTCGTAACAATAATATCCAATTCCACCTTGGATGCCCCCGCCGTTTCCTCCAATGCTCGTAGCCCATTCTGCACCTCCACCACCGCCCGAAACCATGATTCTGGAGCGAAGTGATAGAGGATCAGACCAATCAAACGATTCATTCGCATGCAGACGAACATCAGACGAGGCACCGCCAAAAACAAATCCGTTTTCGGTGCCAACATAGCTGAAAAATGAGTTAAAATATGTAGAAGATCCGATATAAAGGTAAACAATTAATGGACTTCTAACGGTTAACGCACCTGATGTGTAGCCACCAAGGCCTGGAGTGGAAGGACCTTCATTCCATACATTGAAACCTCCTCTCGATCCCCAAGCTTCGAAGAGGTATCGTCCTGGTGAAAGGGAAACAGTGTATGGACTGCATTCATATTGGTCGTCTGGACATGGATATTTAAAAACATATTGATTATGGTAACGTGTGACGTTCTCTTTACCAACTGTCTTCGAAAGCTGATAATGGATCATTATTCATTGAGATAGTAACGATTCCCTACTTTCTAAATTTAATTGATTAGGACCTAACATTCATTATGTACCAATTTGAGAGGGATCTTGTGTCGATCCAATAATTAAAAAAAATAATGAATTACGGGCGTGAAGTTTAAATGAAATCATTATCCTAGAAAGAAGCTGCAAAGTGATATTATTGTACCATTTAACTTAATTAAGAAGGAAAATCACTGTAAATGAGCTAATATAAGAGCTATTATGTTTCCTTAAGTCCCAATTCTCTTAATTCTATTAATGTCATTTTTTTCACATGATGTTGAAATGAAAATTAAACGAAAAATAAGTTTAATGCACTAAAATTTATTCCGATATATACAATAAGCATTTTTTTAATAATAAAATTCATTTCATTTCGATAATGAAATGAGAATTAATGAGTATTTCATTGATTTTATCTTATTATTAAATGTGCTTCATCAATAACAATTAAACTTCTGCTTATTTTGAGAAGATTTCTGGGAAAATGTACTGAGGTTTGAATGGTTCTCCGATTTTTCTGTATATTTTTTCTAAAGCATCTGTAATAATGTCCTTTTTCGTTTGGAAATTCAAAACAAATTCTGTACTAGTCATTATGTTGCTCAAATATTGGTTTAATGGACCATATTTGATGATTTGTTTGGCTTGTAGCCAATTGTTTTGATTCCTCCTTGTCGGAGGAGCGAATATTTCTGAAATTTGAGGAAAATTCTTTAAAATTAAATCAATAATCATTTGGGAATATTCATTTACTAAGAATAAATAGATTGGCCTGAAATGATCTCGTTTACTTTCTTCAATTTTCTCGATTGAAAGAAAATATGGAAGTAAATTCAGATTTTTGTTATGTTTGATGTAACTTTTGAATGCATCAACACATAGAAACATGAACTTTTTGATTCCTTGGCAAATCGAAACACTTTTTACGATATCCAAAATAAAATTGAAAAATAATGGGAAATTATCAGCTTCAACACCTAAATTTCCTACTGTTAAAAGCATAATTGAGATTTCTGTCTTTAGATAATCAAATATATTGATTAAATATGGACAAATAAAATTGTTTGTATTTTCAATGATATAATACATGAAAAGTAATTGTATGTAGTCACTTCTTACGATATCACTCTTGAATTTATTCTTTAAAACATAAATAACGTTTTCATCAAATTTATTATCGCAATTCCATAATTTTTTCAATTCTGATAGTTTGTTATCCAATATATGTTGTTGTTCTTCCGAAAAGAATTGTTTAAATTGTGATTCGGGGTAAAATGAGTTCCCTAACTTTTGAAATCGTTCGTAAGCGCTGTAATCCTGATACTGCCTCACAAAATCACCAAGTATGCTGTTTAAATCAACAAGTTTGATGATTTCGCCTTTAAGAACTTGGTAATATTTTGATCGGTTTATTTGATATAATTCTGAAGGTATCTTTGTCTTAGAATATACTAACTTTAAATTTTTGAATGTTTCGTTAATCCGATAGTTGCTAAGAAGTGGCAAATTTAAAAGAAATTCTAATTCTCGTCTCGATTCTTCATTTAGAGTATTTAAATCAGAACGAGTGCAATAGTCATCAAGCTTGTCACAAGATTTGCTAATACGAATGTAAGCTTTCAATAATTTATGTTCATTCTTTAAATTTTGCATTTCAGATTCAATTGGAATGGTGTAATTTGCGACTTCGTTCGTTTTATCCTCTTTTAAATCTTTATTGATAGATTTCATTTGTTCATAATATTGTTGAGAATAATCCATAAGAACTGCTTTATCATAGTTATTACCTGAAGTATTCAGACAGAAACTGTCTTTAATTTCACGAATTACTTGATCTATATTAGAATCTTGATGTGTTAGATCAATATTCATGGAATTTTAAATAATTGAGACGTTCTCAAACATACGATTATTTTTGATTCAAATGCTGTTCGGCATTAAAAGCAAAAATAATCATATACATGAGAATTACACTTTTCCGACATTTTTGGGTCGCTTCGCGCCCCTGACAAAACGTCGGAAAAGTGTAAATTTTCCAATAAAAAATTTTAAATTATCAAAAATTTGTATTTTAATCAACTCTATTTTGAGCCTATGTTTCTTTGCTAATTGTAAACTTCAGAAAATTGAGTGTTATCCCAGTGAGCTCAAAATTTTTGACAACTGCCGTGAAATGTCATTGAAAATTAGCCATAGGCAGTGCAATTGAACCATACAGCTAATTTATTACTCCTTGAAACCAATGTGTAATAAACAGAAATTCATCAAAAGTGACAGCTCTCAATTTTTTGACATTTGTAAATTCTAAATTGAATGAGAAAAATGAAATAATACTAAGCATAATACAATATTCTAGATTTAATTATAATTAGGAAAAAGTTAGTTTTGAGAGTACTTTTCATAGGCATATAGAATGAAATCTCCTGAAAAATAATATCACATAAACTCATATTATTTTCTAATATATAACTATTTTATATAAAAATCAAATTCAATGATCTTAAAAGCGAAGGATAAACCTCAAAATTTACGAATATAATGAGTGGGAATATAATGCTTATCTATCATAAAACCATATGAAATATCAATTTTTGCTTTACGCCTAATTTTTGACGACAATTAGCAAAAAATGTTAAATGTTAACACTCAGTCCATTTGAATATGAAAAATAAAATTCACTTTGATTAAATGTTTTTATTTATCATGCAATTCTTCTTGCGACCAAAGATTTGAATAAAATTTCAAAAAATAAGATAGCTTAAAAAATAATATACGGTAGTGTTTACTAATAGATGAATAGTATATAAATTCTATTAAAATGGATTTGATCCAAAAATATATAAAATTTGATCATAAATAAAATCGTTTTAAATTACTTCTTCATTTAAATTATAACAATTATTTTTGGTTTTATTTTTTTTGGATCAAATTCATTTTAATAGAATTTATATACTATTCATCTATTAGTAAACACTACCGTATATTATTTTTTAAGCTATCTTATTTTTTGAAATTTTATTCAAATCTTTGGTCGCAAGAAGAATTGCATGATAAATAAAAACATTTAATCAAAGTCAATTTTATTTTTCATATTCAAATGGACTGAGTGTTAACATTTAACATTTTTTGCTAATTGTCGTCAAAAATTAGGCGTAAAGCAAAAATTGATATTTCATATGGTTTTATGATAGATAAGCATTATATTCCCACTCATTATATTCGTAAATTTTGAGGTTTATCCTTCGCTTTTAAGATCATTGAATTTGATTTTTATATAAAATAGTTATATATTAGAAAATAATATGAGTTTATGTGATATTATTTTTCAGAAGATTTTGTGTTCTTCTTCAAAATTTTATTTTTTTATTAAAAAGAATCTTTACAAAATATACATTTACTTTAATTAATATTTAAAAACGTGCTCTATCAAAAGTTCCAAAAATTCAATATTTTAGCTTTTCTGAGGTGTCACTTTTGATGAATTTCTGTTTACAACAAATGACAAGGCGAAACCATGAGAAGCTTCAATATGTTCTTGTTTTGACTATAGCTGAGCTATGACATTTTAATAGAAATGATATTTATTGACATTGTATTAAACCACACATGTCATAGATTGCAATAGTAATACAATATATTAATAAATCATTTAAAAAGAGTAAAAAACTCTGAAACCCAATAGAGTGGCATTTTTGAAAAAATTTTTAAAAATTCTGAATTTGATTAATTTTAAGAAATATCAACAATAAATAAATATCTACGAGAATTCTCAAATGAATCTAAATATATCATGTTTTCTCTTGCATTTGACCCTATTAACTTCTGTTTATACCAAATATTCATATTACTGTGATCAAATCTATTTTCAAATTCACATTTTTGTCAGTTTTAATGCTTGTTCAAAAAAATCGAAATAACTCAATATTAACACGGTTTATAATATAGATAATGCAAAATAATAAAATTGTTTGTAGTACCATATATAATTATATAAATAATTAAAATAATTATGGATGATGATGTTAAAACACTTATATCATATGTAGCAGAAAAATACACTGACTTATATGATGCATCATATCATATTTATAGATTAGCCTCCTACTATGGTGCCGTCAATTGTTTTAAGTTTTTGCAAACAGAAGCTCATCCAAAATATCCTTTTGAAAATCCAATTCCTTGGCAATGTCTTCAACGTTCATTTATAGGTGGAAATCCACACATCATTAGTGAATGCTTGAAATATCAAGAAACTGATTATTTGTGTATGACGTGGGCAATTGCTTCACATAATCTCAAGATATCATACGTCCAAATAATGTGGAATTAGCAGCACTGTTACATTATAAAGGTTTCAAATTCGAAAAATTCAGTCCTACAAAGAAAGAAGAAGAAGTTCTGAATTTATATTCAACAGAATCTCATTTGTACTATATTGCATGGGATAAAGTTGATGATCTTAAGAGTAAATTCCCAAATCTTGATATTAATAAGATGATTAATGATATCACACCACTTGATTGTGCAATTAAATATGGATCAGAATTGTGCTTCAATTACTTTAAAAATTTAGGAGCTAAATACACATATTACTCCGAAAAATATGCTGTTCAAGGCGGAAATAAGAATATTTTTATGCAAATGATAGAAGAAGGTAAATCATTTAAAAAATGATTAATACAGCACTGGATTATCGAAACTATGAAATTGCAGAATATCTTAAATCGAATTTAGGACAAACTCCTGATTCATTAACAGAAAGTATGGATTTCGGAAATTATGATATTGCATCTTATTTATTTACTAATGGAGCAAATATCAATGATATATACATTCTCTCTCTTTTCATATTTATAATTGTTTTATGAAATTCTCTTTCTTTTCATATTTATCGTTGTTTTATTACATCCTCTTTCTTTTAATATTTATCATTGTTTTATGAAATTCTCTTTCTTGTTATATTTATCATTGTTTTATAGAATTCTCTTTCTTTTCATATTGATCATTGTTTTATAGAATTCTCTTTCTTTTCAGATTTATCATTGATTTATTTCATTCTCTTTCTTTTCATATTTATCATTTATTTATGGAATTCTATTTCTTTTCATATTTAGCATTGTTTTATGAAATTCTATTTCTTTTCATGTTTATCATTGTTTTATTACATTACAATTCTTTATATATTTATCATTGTTTTATTACATTATATTTCTTTTCATATTTATTATTGTTTTATGACATTCTATTTCTATTCATATTTATTATTGTTTTATGAAATTATTTTTCTCTTAATATTTATTCTTGTTGCATTATATTCTTTTTCTTTTCATATTTATTGTTTTTTTATACAATTTTATTTCTTTTCATATTTATCATTGTTTTATGATATGGTCTTTCTTTTAATATTTACCATTCTTTCATCAAATTCTCTTTCTTCTCATATTTATCATTGTTTTATCAAACTCTCTTTCTTTTCATATTTATCATTGTTTTATATGATTTTCTTTCTTGTTATATTTATTGTTATTTCATCAAATTCAATTTCTTTTCATATTTATCATTGTTTTATTACATTCCCTTTCTTTTCATATTTATCATTGTTTTATGGCATTCTCTTTCTTTTCATATTTATCGTTATTTTATCCAATTCTCTTTCTTTTCATATTTATCGTTTTTTTTATAGCATTCTCTTTCGTTTCATATTTATCGTTGCTTTATGGCATTCTCTTTCGCTTCATAATTATCGTTGTTTTATTTCATTCTCTTTCCAGTTATATTTATCACTGTTTTATACAATTCTCTTTGTTGTTATATTTATCATTGTTTTATGAAAATCTATTGTTTTTCATGTTTATCATAGTTTTATTACATTATATTTCTTTTTATATTTATCATTGTTTTATTTCATTCTCTTTCTTTTCATATTTATCATTGTTTTATAAAATTCCATTTCTTTTCATATTTTTTATTGTTTTATACAATTCTCTTTCTTGTTATATTTATCATTGTTTTATGAAATTCCTTTTCTTTTCATATTGATCATTGTTTTATTTCATTCTCTTTCTTTTCATATTTATCATTTTTTTATTTCATTCTCTTTCTTTTCATATTTATCGTTGATTTATGGAATTCTATTTCTTTTCATATTATTCATTATTTATTGATATTCTCTAACTCTTAATGAATGCCCTCTTAGTATTGCAATCAATGCTAATTCAAAAGATATTGTTAAATTCTTAGTTGAACATGGTGCTACGAATATCGAATAATTTTTTTCTAGTTGATCGTCTCTATATTGATACAAGATATAGTAATGTCGTCATTATTTAAGAATAAACATATCACATTAATTAATCTAATATGGGTTATAACATATTTGTTTTTGGAAGTTTTACGAAAACTAAAAAAAAATATGATATACAATGTGTATCTAACGAAAATACCTTATTTACTAGTTAAGTATCCACGTTATATTTTCAATATTATTCAAAAATTGAAAACAAAAATAAGAATTATCGTTATCGTCTTTCTTTTGAATTGATTTTTTGAACATATTATTTGACAAAATCCAAAACTCATTTTACAAATAGAATATAAATATGATGTAGATCTATGATTTATGATTAGATATGAGCCAGGCCATATAAATTTTGATGATTTACGATGGACTTAATTTGGCCGCACCGTGGACCCTTATTGATAAAGTTATTTGTTTTGGATATCCAATTGGATAGAAAATACAATTATCTAATTTGTACCTGGTTTAATTAAGCTAATTGTTAACAGAAATATATTATTATAATCAAACTTTGTAAAATTGTTATTCCTTAATAAAAGGATATGATTTTCACGAAATATCAGATATCAATGATCAAAGTTAATACTTATGATTGTCATCCAATATATTTGTTTCTTGATTTAAAAATAGAATGTTAATATATAAATGCGTTTGTTTAATAACTAGAATATATTAAATTGCGCCATGGTATTTAAGATAATACTTGATTTTTTCAGTAGTTGCATAATCAATAGGAGCTTGTCCATAATCATTTTTAACATTGACATCTGCACCATGTGAAATAAGAGCTTCTATTATTTCTAAATTACTACTATAAATTGCATAATGAAGTGCAGTTGTTCCATAGTTATTTTTGACATTCACATCTGCACCATGCGAAAGAAGCAAATTAACAAAATTGATTTTATTATCTTTTGCCGAAATATGAAGCGCAGTTGACCCATCATCATCTTTTCCATTGACATCTGCACCATGAATGATAAAGAATTCACAAAGGGATGGAATATTAAATCTAACTGATTCTGCGACACATTTATTGACATCATTTAATTTGTCTAAATAAACTAAAAATGCTTGAAGATTATTATATCTAATACAATCTGTGATATCTATTTTTAAGTTGTATTCATTCATCAAGAAATTTAAAGTTCAGAAAATAATTTAATTTCTTTAGCACGAATTTGTGAAAGATTATCAATTAAGTATAGCGCCATTTGGATAGATATCTTGGAATTTGTAATGAATTCTATAATTTGTGAAGATATTTGTAAAATATTATTGGAATTGACACTCCAAATAAATTTTGATGCTTGGCTAAGGTAATTGAATACTTCAATTATCTTAATATCAATAAAATCACATCCAGTTTCAGTTTTTGATTGCTCAGAACTTGACATGCTTTTTAAAAATTTTTGTTGTGGCACTTTTATGAAAAATTTGATTTTAAAAATATAATAAAAGACCAGTTTGTTCATAAACAAGACAAAACAAAGTAATACAAAATAATTTTATTTTGGAGCAATGATGTATATTTGGTGACTCACTTTTTTGGACTCAGGCATCAAAATCGAGTTATTTTAAGATTTAGTATGTATAATTAGATCTGTGTTATGCACCATAATATAGTATACTATAAGCCTAATATTTTACTCTATGATAATATCTAGATTACTGGTATATTTGGATTGCATATCTAGTGATTAACATGAATATTGTTGTTCTAGCCTCATAGCTAACCACAATAATTATTTTTTCATAGCAATCATTATTAGATTATAAAGCGATACAATTAAAATTGATAATTTGCATCTCAAAAAGAAATGAAGCTATTGCTTAATAAACATTTTAATCAGATGAGGTATATTGATGTTATATATATATATAAAGATCATTGAATTCCTATGTTCCTTTGTAGAGAAAAAGGGTAATCGTTTTATATATTTTTTATGAGTAAGTTTCGATTCTGCAGGTGATATTTTTCCGACCTACAAAAAACACATTAAATACGAAAATACTCTTTATAGAAAGCTTCAAGAATATAGAATCATATGTTCCCTATAATAACGAGATTTATTATGCATAATTATTTTATAGATTTAACAAAATAAAATCAAGTACATGCTGCTGTCATTGTTAATCATTCAAAGTATTTTGCGAGAATTCAAATATATTGCCAAATATTAATTTAACATCATTCATTCTCTGCTCAATAGACTTTTATTGGTAACACGTAGTATACAAAAACTTTGAATGCAAATGACGAAGATTTTTCATGAATAAAATTTCAAATTTCATTTATGAACCGGGTAAATTGGACTATTATTTGGCGTTAAATATGCTCGTACATCGAAACCAAATTCTGTACGATCGTGTTGCTTATAAACTGTTTTTGTTTTCTTTGTAAATGATAAAGGAACAGAAAAGATAGCAGGATCTTTCTTTTCATCATATTTTAAGCTGACATGTGATAAGTCTGTTGTTCCTTGCTCTGGATTATAGGCGAAAAAATGAAATGTTTTTGGTTGTTCTTGTTCCTCTATGTAGGATGTGCTTGATTTTTCTCTGGGAAATGATAGGTGCTTTTTCACTCTCCAAGCAGCTAAATCAGCGAGTTGTTCTTCTGTATGATCCATTTTTTAGTAAAGACGTTAAAATAAACTATTCAATTTTTCACACCAATTTCAAAAAATATCCAGAATTTAAATGAAATTTTGGAGATTTGTTCAAATTCTCTTTTTCTTAGGTGTAGCTGCCGTTGGCCTTGTAGTTGCAGTAATGATCGCCAATGCTGACGATACAACGTTATTCGATAGAATGCAATTACCAGATGGAGATCCAAATAAGCTTAATTATTATATACAACCTGCTCCAAATGGAAATGAAAAGGTTCCATTTCCAACAATATTCGACCCAGCTTCCGTTTATTTATCTTTAGTTGTTCCTGCATATAATGAAGAAAAACGACTTCCAAAAATGCTTGATGAAACGCTTAATTATCTTAAATCACGCGAAGAAAAAGACAAATCATTTACATGGGAAATCGTTATTGTCAATGATGGCTCCAAAGATAAAACAAAAGAAGTTGTTTTGAATTATGCAAAGGAATATCCTAACATTTTCTTACTTAATCAACCAGTAAACATGGGCAAAGGTGCTGCAATTCAAGCTGGCTGCCTTCACGTGCGCGGTGAACTTGTTTTAATGCTTGATGCAGATGGTGCTACAAAGATTGATGATTTCGAAGTACTCGAGAAAGAGATTAAGAGTCTTATGAAAACTACAAACCAGGCAATAGTTATTGGCTCAAGAGCTCAAAATGAAAAAGCAAAGAGAACACCTCTTCGTAAATTCCTTAGCATTGGAATGCATACTCTTATTGTTCTTAGCGGTGTTCATGGAATCCGCGATACACAATGCGGATTCAAGCTTTTCACACGTGAATCTTGCAAGATGATTTTCATGAATCAACATGTTCAGCGCTGGTGCTGCGATCCAGAGATTCTTGTCATTGCTAGGCGCTTAGGAATGAAAATTTCAGAGCTTCCAGTTGAATGGAACGAAATTGACGGAAGCAAGATGAAGATTTCAGGTATGATAAAGATGGCAACTGATCTTATCAAAATTGCTATCTTCCATCGTGTTGGAGCATGGAAAATTCGTGACAGAAGACATTAATTTTTAATTAATATCATAAATACTTATTCTACAAAAGATTGTCAAGAAAAGATAAAATATAATTCATTTACAAAAGATTTAGGATAATATTTTAATATAAGAATATAAAGAAAAAAATTAAATGAAATTCACACAGTTTTTTTGCTTATTTATATAAAGAAGAGCAAGCTCTAAACTGAGGACTAGAAGAATTCCTTTTGATCTTTGAAATTGATTGGTTAGAGTTTTGTTTTCTAATAAATTTCTTTGAAATCGGATATTGCTTCTCGGTGTACATGAAAAACGAATTAGCTACAGATGCTAAGGGTCTCTTTGATGGATCTTCGGATAAACAGTCTAAAATTAATTGAATTAGTTTTTCGTCGTATTTTCCGTATAAATTTTTCATGGAAGATTCCAAAGAATCTGAATAAGAGATTTCACTATTATTTGACCATGGGTATTGTCCAGAAAGGAGATAATAACTGATCGCTCCAAAACTCCAAACATCTGATGCACGTGGATCATAAGGTTTACCACTATACGTTTCTGGAGAAAATGAATACCTAGAATGTGGGCACCTATCTGAATTTTGTTTGTAACTTATAGAAGCATAATCAAAATCTACAATTTTAATTCGTCCAAAGCGATCAAAATGTATTGTTGACGGATTCAAGTTATTGTGAACAATGTTGTTTGAGTGAAGATATTCAATTCCTTGAATCAACTGTGATAAGTAAACGTATACGTTTTTCTCCGAACATTTTCTTGTAGAACTAACAATAGATTCTAAAGATAGATCTCTGCAAAGCTCAAAAACAAGATATGAATAATTTTGAGTTTGGAAAAAGTCGAATGTTTCAACTATATTGGGATGAATCAGAGTTCCAAGGATATCCTTTTCATTGTTGTAATAATCGATGATGTTGGAAGCTGCAGCATGGTTGTATACTTTAACATCAAATGTGAATCCTTTAGCGTTTGAGACTTCAAAATGCTTGGCCACGGAGCTGCTAGCTATAAGTCTAACAACTTGATATCCATGTTGCTTCAGATCATCTTCAATTTCGGCATCGTTGATAATCATTGATGTCTGCTATAATTATTGTTTTAAATAATCTCAGAAAAATTGAAAACATTATTCAATGATATATCTGTTAATAAGCTGTATATATGCAATTCTTTAAAAATTTGCATTTTTTAATTTACGTTTTTCAGAAAAAATTCAATATGCCAAATATTTTTTTAAAACGAGATTTTATATTCACTTATATGTCGGTATATATTATAACATGTTTTCAATGCAAAAGATATGGGCGTTTGAAAATCTGGAATTTTTGAGAAGATTAACAAAATTCTAAATTAACCAAATCGAAGGAGTATACTGTTTCTAACATATATTTATTCGAAGAGGGAAAATTTTTGAGAGGCATTTTTTTAAATCAGTTTAGAAAAGTAGTTATTGTATAAATATGAAAAAGATCACTTATCTGAATATAAATATTTATTCAGAAAATAAAAAGTAGCGGGTTCAAAATTGAGATAAACGTATATGCTAACCACCATAGTAACACCATGCAAAAATAACTTAAGATAAAGACTAAAGCGAATTACAAAGACAAAGGCAAAATTATAACATAATCTAGAGAATATCAATGGATCTTATGAACATAATCATTGAAATCATAGCTGAGTTTACTAGATAAGAGAATAAAAACATTAAATGTGTTATCTGAAAAATCAAATTATAAATTGAATATATCTGGAGGTGTACGAAGCTATCAAATTACATGATAATCAACGAGTTCATTTCAGCAATCATAATAGATTTATCGCCATAGGAAAATATGAATCATTATAATCTAAATTTCCAAATTTGACTCCAATAGAAATTTGGAACATTTAAATATCATTTTCTCACATTACAATATGTTATTACCTGCATTGTATAGATAAATTTTTATTCCAAATATACTGGATCCGCATTATGAAAAGTCGAATTTAAAATTTAAGAATGAATACATCAAAGCCGGTGAAAAGTATTTTCAAATAATATATTGAAATTGGATACATAATATGAACTTTTGGTACCAGGAGAACCCGAACAATGATCCACAACCATTTACACTACCAAATGGAACATGGTTATTTCGAATTTGGGGAGCCCAAGGAGGATACGTTAAGAATGAGGAAAGTGGGCTCGGCGCTTATTCTGAAGGGATATTTAAAGCAGAAAATGATATCACATTGTTTTATTTCGTTGGAAAACAAGGACAATGTAGTACACAAAATATAAAAAATACTAAGAAATTTTCAGGAGGAAATAACTTAATAGGAAATGAAAAATGCCCTTCTTGCACTGGAGGTGAGGCTACATTTATTAGCAAAGACAAAGATGCAAAGAATATCCTATTAATTGCGGGCGCCGGAGGAGGATCTGGTTATTGGAAATTTGCTGGATTAAACGTTGATGATGAATTTTATGGCGGTTATGGCGGACCTTTTGCAGGTGATAGCGACGGAAGTGCGTATAGAATAGAAGAAAAAGAAGCAACGAAAATTAGAGGCAAAGGGGCCACATATTCACGACCTGGAGAAGGAGGCTATTATGCAGGACATGACGAATTCTCTGGCGTGTCAGGAGGATTTGGAAAATATTTGAGAGGTGGAGATGGAAATACAACTGCAGGAGGCTCGCCTGGAGGTGGAGGAAGTGGATATTATGGAGGGGGTGGAGGTGCAGACCTATCAGGTGGTGGTGGGGGAAGTAGCTACGCTTCATATGAGATGTATAATGTCATTTTACTTGGTGGAAATAAATATTTTCCGTCACCAAATGATGATGTAAAGAAAGGAAATAGAGGAAATAGAGCCATTAAAATCGAGTTATCCAATCCATACACTATTGATAGAACTGAAAAGGATTGTAACAAATCCGAATCATTAAATACTTTAACCAGTCAAAATTCTTTTTCTTTTTCCTTTTTCTTCGTGTTGAATCATTAAATACAATTCATATCACTTCATTTTTTTAATTTATATGTAGATGTGCATCAAAACATCTATTTCAAATATCTTATATCCTTACTGAGACTGTTTAAGAGTGTAAATTTATTAATCTCTTATTCATACAGATCATAAGAAACCAGCATTATTGAGAAATTATTAAATATCGAAATACATGAAAGTGAAAGGAAAGACACCATATAAAAGATAAAAATTAATTCGGAATGGATCATTCTTGAGAGAAAAAAGGATGCAAAATTGGGAATATTTTTTAGGACTGCACTTACGCCCCTATGACACGGCCTTCAATCCAGATGTCAAGGTTAATTTTCAATGGCGCTTCACGCCAGTTGTTAAAAAAGCCTAAATTTAAAATAAAATCAGAATTTACTGAGATAAGAATTTCTCTGTGTTAATAGCAACATCGAGTTCTCTCTTCAGCCTTGCGATCTTTGCCATGAGATGCATCTTTTCGATAGACATTTCGTGGGTAATTTCGTAAGACTCGTCGATGATTGTCTTCTTGTTTGAAACAGAAGTAGCTGCAGAAGAAGAAACACCGTATTGAGAAGCGAAATCAATGACAGATCTGATGTGAGTATTTGCTGTATCGATGATTTCACCAAGCTTTGCGTAAATTTCCTTTTGGTTTCCGTTAGTTTGTACGTGAGAATACAAAACTTGCAAAGCAGCAGAGAATCTTCTTGCTCCCAAAATAACTCTCTGTTTAAACGATTTGTCTTCTGTTGACAAAACTCTTGACAACAAATAAATAACTTGTACACTTTCTCTTACTTGATTACAAGCTCTTTCGTATTCTTTCTCCAGTTCTTCATCGAAAGAAACGTTTTCTTGTATCAAACTTGTTATCAACAACTTTATTTCTACAACGAACGCTCTTGAATGATGCAAAACAGTTCTGAATTCCGTGATTGAATATTTCTTCAAAGGAGGGTACTTCGAGAGTTCTTCTTCTGTTGGATCATTGTCAACAGTATTAGAAACATCTTGAATATCTTCTGCAAGTATCGTGAGATACTCTATTATTGGTGTTTGTGTCTTTCCACTTGCATTTGTTTCTCCAATGTATTCTCTGATTGCATTTGCCAAATCAGTGAATGGAGATTGCAAAATAGAAACAGAATCACGTTTTCCTTGTATTACATCATTGACAACTCTTTCAACAACAGTCCTTACATTGTCACACATCTGATAATATTCGTTGTATTTGGCGTCTTCTGTCATCTCCAAAAGTTTCAACATGTCATTGATATCGTTAAGAAGAGAATTCGCTTTATCTTTGACAATGGAAACTTCTTTGTGCTCAGCTGCTCTGTTGAATTTGCGCAAACCCTTTAAGATCTTTCTGGCGGATCCTGTGATTCTAAATGCAGCCATTTCTTGTGTTTCTTCTGGTGGCATGACTTGTTTGTACTCGTAAACATCTTTGAGGTAATATCCAACATATTGGTTCTCGAATCCCAACATGTGAATGATAGAGCGAACTTTGTCGCAGTCGAAATCATCACTGGCTAATGATAAACTCACAAGTGAAGTGAACATCATGTTCATTTCACCTTCTTTTGTAAACTGAATTGGATGATTTGCGATCTCTTGCATAAGCAGTTTCTTTGACGTAACAGTTGGACTTGATTCATAAGCGGAGTATGCGTTCATCAAATTATACGATTTTGTAATAATTTGGTCAGAGAAACAACCGCTTTTAACCGCCGAACAAATGAAAGTTGACAAAACATTATGGACGTAACTAGAGATGTCTGTAGCGTTTTCTATCTTTTGTAGCATCTGGTTCACGTATTCCTTGGAGTAGTTTCTTTCCTCGCATACCAATGTCGCGATCAAAATAGAGATCTGATGAAGAGATTTCTCTCTTAAATCACCAGAATTAACAACAGGTAATTGATAATTATACAAATTGCATAAATCAGCAATTTCTTTTGTGCATTCTTGTTTCGTTGTTCTGAGCTCTTCCGACAAAGCCATCAACGCCTTGTAGAATGGATTGTACTTGCTGTTGAACGTCTTTATCTGTTGGAGTTTCGATTTGACGTCACCGACTTGTTCGCAACTCAAAATTTCAGTTGACATTTCATTGAGTTTGGGAATTCCTGCTTCGTTGTAAATCATCGTCAAACTTGAAGCGATGTTTGGAAGGTCGTTCATGATCTTCTCGTCAGGGAGTTGAAGGATTTGGTCAACGCTTTCATAGCGATTTTCGCTTTTCATGCGAGAAACAACGAACTTTTTGACCATGTTTGTATTATTGACAAACAATTTGTTGACGGATTTATCATTTTGAGAAGACAAAACCCATTCAACTGTTGCTTGTCTTGAGAGTTCGTCTGAGATTTGTTCGAGAGCTTTCGTGAGATCTTCCATGTTCTCGAATGAAACATTCTCGATCTTCTCTCTGTCGACGTTTTCTTCTGATAATTTGTTCGAAACTTTGTTTAGTTTTTCCAAAATTTCTTCCGAACACTTTATCATTTCTGAAGGATCAGAAACATCTTTGAGTTTATGGAATAAACTGATGACTTCTTCGTCTTCATCTGATAATTCGTTCTCCAAAGTGTCCATCATCTGAGAAAGTTGGAATGTCAACAGTTTCATGTCACTCAAAGCTTGTTTAGCGTATTCTGGCTTGGATTGCGCGTATTGCTTGATGTTGTCGAGCTGTGCAACCATTGGATTGATCGCTGACTTCAAGCAGGCTTGTGTTGCAACAATAGGAATGTCTTCTATCTTGGAAAGAGAGTTTTTAAGGGATTCGAACAAAGAAAATGTCTCTTCTATGTTCTGTGAGATCATTCCGATGGAAGTAAGTGTATCTGAGATGGAGACAGGTGCAGATGATATAACTTGCTTGGTTGTATGAGTAATTAGTTCGGCTAATGTAGATACTGTTTCAATTAGCTTCGAATATTCATCGTAGTCGCATGCATCGTTGGGGAATTTGATCAGTACATCAAAGGAATCGAGAATGGACTTGGATGTCTTTGAGGAAATGTTGATATGATTTCCAATGAACTTAAATGCGCATTCTGAAAGGTAAACTGCGGACAAACGTAATGCAGCAGCCTTGGCAATAAATAATGCATTGCATATTCTGTTCAAATTGTCAAAATTCGTGTTAAATAATTGGAAATTTTCAACAAGTCCGTTCAAATGAGGTTGGATGGCCTTGAGAGCAATGACACTGTGATAAAATTGCTCTAAAGTTGATGGTGTCTCAAGGTATTTGCCTACAAACTGTTGTAAAGCCTTTGGTAAATTAACAACAACAGGAGAAGCGATTTTGACGCATTTTGTGTGTATGATATTAAATAAATCTTGTAATGTTTGATCCAAACTGATCAAATGTGGAAGCCTTTCAGAATATGAAAATGGCAACAAAGCAGAAAGCAAAGCGACGTATCCGAGCGCTGCCTCTGGTAAGAAATTAATGCAACTGCATATGTATTGGATCTGTTGGTCCTTCGCTTTTTCGTAAATTGTTTGAGCCGCTTGTTGAAAAACGGGAGTTTCGATATTTACATGGTTTATGGCGGTCTTTAGAATATTTGTAAGTACATCGGCACATTCAATTGGGAAATTATCGATTTCTGGAAGGACGAGTTTAGAATGAAGTGGAATCATGGGATTTTTCTTGATCGCTGTAGAATATTCGTCGATCTTCGAGTTCAAAGAAGCGAATAATACCTTGAAAATGTTGTAGGACTGTAGTTTTTGATCTTTTTGCATGTCATTGATATTTTTCTGGAAAATTGAGAGATTTTCTAATAATTTGCGTGAATTTCCTTGAAAAGCATTGCGAGAAATATCGATTACAGTACCTTCTGAGAATTCAAATTGTTCAGAAACGGAGATAAGATTTAAAAATAAACCAAGAGTTTGGAATGAAAGGATTAAGTTACGAAATTCATCAATGGTTGCACTAATGTTACTGTTATTGAGTAATGATGAGAAACTCTTACGAATAAATTTTGAAATTTTCTTTACATCTTTTCCAATTGAAGTATTATTTTTCTCGTTTTTCGGTTCTGATTTGAATTTCTTTAAATGCTTGATTAACTTCGCGCAATCGGTATCTGCGTTATTTTCAGTTTCTGGAGGTGTTAGTGCTTCTAAAAGGAAAGTAAGCACTTCACAGTGTGATTCTACTGTAGAGTTAATCAATTCCATTGATTTGGAATCCATTGAAGGTCCATCTGATTTTGTCAGAATTGAAGAAATTTCTTCGAGTGTGTTTAGTATAATCAAAGATACACTAGCATCTAGTATTGATAGTTTTACGTTCTTTGGCGATCCGAATGAGCAAACAAGAGGAACGGCTGAATGCCAAACTGGCAAATCTTCTGGAACTTGCTCTCCTTTTTTAACGAGAGAACGCTGAATAATGGGCCAGACAGATCGCATTGGCGAAATGTTTTGCATTTGGAATCGTGCTAATCTTGTAAACTCTCTGAAGTACGAATAAACTGGATTCATGAGAGTTTTTTTTTATTTACAAAAAAGTGACAAACCCAAAATATGTAAATTGGCATCATAGATAAAAAGTGACAACTTTTAAATCTACATATTAAAAGCATTCCATATCCATATCTGATTTATTTTTTAAAATGTATTGAATTTTTATTTTTCAGAATGAAATTGATTTTCTGATTGACATTTGAATCTTATAATAAAATTCGATAAAAACACCACTGTTTCAATTCCAAGTGATATAGATCGCTCTTGTTCCCAATGGCATTATAAATATCGGATTTGCATCTATATATAATGCAAAATATTTAAAGAATGTTTTTATCCCACAATCGGTAGTTTTTGCAGACGAACATTTTTTTGATAAATGCAAATCATTAGAATTAATATTCAGGATGCGTTTCTTATTAGCACTAAAGTCTCCTACCTTAATATGAAAAGAAATAAAATTCTATAAAACAATGATAAATATGAAAAGAAAGAGAAATCTATAAAACAATGATAAATATTAAAAGAAAGAAAATGTCATAAAACAAAGATAAATATTAAATGAAAGGAAATGTTATAAAACAATGATAAATATTAAATGATATCTTCTGCTGTCTATACTCTCTAAAAACAGTGATTAGTTCTAATGATCTACATTCACCAAAAAAGTATTGATCTGCATATATAACAGATTGTGGGAAAATTACATTAGTTAAATACTTTGCATTGATGTTAACATGAAACTTATCCTCTTTCTTTTCATATTTATCTTTTCTTTATAACATTTTCTTTCTTTCCATATTTCTCGTTGTTTTATAACATTTCCTTTCTTTTCATATTTATCTTTTCTTTATAACATTTTCTTTCTTTCCATATTTCTCGTTGTTTTATAACATTTCCTTTCTTTTCATATTTATCTTTGCTTTATTACATTTTCTTTCTTTTAATATTTATCATTGTTTTATTACATTTTCTTTCATTTAATATTTACCCAGATTTTCCTTACTTTTACCACTCCCCATGTAATTTCTGGGGAAAATGATAATTCATTTTTTTTTATGGATGAATAGATCGTTTTCCTAGAAAGGACCTCATATCTCTGGCTAAAAAGAGTGTCAGATCCTAAATAGGTTATTGATCTAGTGTACAAATCCAATAAAAAGCCTATTTTTTTGGCTTTTTTGGTGCTCATTTTTTCGAAGATCTACATGAATATGGGGAAACCATCGGATTTTTTTGGTTAACCCACATCTTCATGTAGTCTGGACTATCTTTCCTCGAAGGACCTCTTTACGGGTGTAAAAACTCATAAAGTTCTCAAAAGATTCATTCTCGATCTCCATGCTGAAAGAATTTACAATAAAAAAAGATCTACGCATCAAACTACAGCCATAAATGAACTGAACCCCTAAAGCTCAGCTCTTAGTTTATCAAAAACGTCGAAATCCTTCTCATTGCAATCAAATTTTCTCAATAACTCATAAGAAAAATCGAATTTTGATTAAGCCGATGTTATAGGTATCACAAATACTACAAACTTGAGCAATATCGAAATTGCCAGCAAAAGTTTGAAATTGCATTGCTCATATTTGTTTTGTAAACTAAAAATCTGCTTATATTATTCATTAATTTTTTATATATTATTCATATACTTTAATAAAAACAATACTATTTCACCTTAAAAATGAATTTCATAAGTCAATATTATTTTTTTGAAAATGTATCAATTTTCGATTAAAACAACATGAGAATAAAATTTACGCAAAATTATTTTAAAAAATGGTTTTAAAAATTTACAATTGATGAAGAATAAGATTGCAAGAAGTTTTGAAGTTTAATTTTAAGAAAAAAAATTCGGATATTATTCATGGATCTAAGTAATCTGATATTTGAGTATCGGCACTATGCATGAAACATATATTTATAGTTTTTTTGGAGTTTTATGATTTTAAATATATTCAAATTTGGCAATCCAATAGATTTTTAAAAAATAGGTAAATAAAAATAGATTACATATGCAGCAGATTTAGAACATGAAACAAATCTTATAGTGATCCAAAAAAGAAAAATACCCTTGGTGGTTCTATTTAATAGCTACTCCCAACGATAGGCGGTGTCCCCAGCTTTTGAGAGGTGGTAAAAGTAAGGAAAATCTGGGTATCATTGTTTTATGACATTTTCTTTCTTTTCATATTTATCATTGTTTTATTACATTATCTTTCTTTTAATATTTATCTTTGTTTTATTACATTTTCTTTCTTTTAATATTTATCATTGATTTATGACATTTTCTTTAGTAGTATATGTTGAAGGGTTGTGTGACTTTTTTTGTAAACGTAAGAATTCATACAATATTGAACGATTTTGTATCATTTTTTTTAACATATGAAGTAAAAAATGTATGATTCTTACGGTTTTTATTCTTACGTTTTTGAATAAATCAAGATTTAAAAAATTGACTTCTTACGTAAAATTAAAACTAAGTTAAATTTATTTTTGAATAATTTATTTTTTATTTAATGATAAATGAGTATAACAACTAATTCATTGAAATCTTTAAAGTTCACTAATTCAGAATTAGAAAATATTTTAGAAAATTTTGGAGACGGTTCTTATCCAACATATATGCAGAATGTGAAAGAGTTTTCCAGATTGTTGAATGAATTTAAATATAACGGACCAATTACTAAAAAGGCTATAATGAGATATTTATATCCCAAAAAAGTTGAAAAACAGGAGAATATTCCTCTTTATGGTCCAGAGGACCTGGGCTCAGAGAGCCTTGAAACACCTCCTGAATATTTTGAAGAAAAATTAAACAAGATGAATATTATAACGATGAGATTGAGAAATTGGAACAATTAAGAAATGAATAGATGAAAGAATTGGTGAATTGAGAAATGCTGAGAATGAAGTAGAGGGTTTAATGAATATCCCAGCTTCAGAATCAGAAGTTCAAAAATCACATGAGGAAAGATATAAAAATTACTTTTTGGAATCTACTAAAAATTTATTAGATGGTGATATTGACGAAACACTTTCAGAAGAAGGCACAAAATTTATTCATAAACATAAGCTTCAGTTTATTGACGATGGAGATTATCCATGTATATTACTTTCACCTCCTCTTGATTCTGAAAAATTCAAAAAAGCACTGAAAAATGTAACATATGCAACAAATACGATTAAGAAAGAAGACCATGATATTTACACAAATTATTATTTAAATAAATGTACAGGTGTTGATAAAGTTTTTGATTTGTTAGATAAAATATCAAAAGAAACAATTGGTACATATAAAATTTTATGCGATTGTGGTTTCATTATTGAAGATACCAATAATGTTTCATATGAAAGAACAGCACCGAAGGAAGACGAAGTTGAAAGGTCTATACCATTCGTTATTAAGAACATAAAAGATATGAAAACTTATAAACATTATATTTATTCATTTATTTCAGAAAAAATGGAAGCAACCCATAAAACATCATCTCATCATTTTATAGCTATTCATACATTCCTTTTCAAAGTTGTGAAATTAAATAAGACAGGAATTAGATTTAATGTATCAGGGTACGCATTCTTGAGTAAATTAAAATGTATTCGTCACGTCGCAGATGATAAAAATTTATGTGTTCTTAATTCATTTTATGGGCTTTAGCCCTGGACTCTCTGAGTCTCGGACTTTAAAAAAAAGAAACTTTATTCTTATTTATTTTTTAATTTTTATTCTTACATAAATGAACAAAAATGGAACAGCTAAAATGAATGATAATCAAATAAAAGCCGAAGGTAGAGGGTTATTTAAACGCTTCTATAACATTCCTGATGGTGTTAATCCTAAAACTCGTAGAAGTTATTTAAATGAAGCCATAGATGCATATGAAGGATTTGACATTTCATCAGAAAGTGAGAGGTTAGCAAGAATGTTAAACGTTAATATTGATTTTTATTATTGTGACCCTCAACCAGAAGACGTAGACATTAACAAGGTAGACTTTCCATTAGTGGAATCAATAATGATAGATCCAGAATTTGAAACAGTAAATATTTTATTAACACAGAGTCCATGTGGAAAACTTCACGCTGACAGAATTACAGACGTTGAAGCACTCACAGGATATAAAGTTTGCCCCTTTTGCAAAGAAGAAGTATATTCTATCCGTGATGATCCAGAAAGGAAAAACCAAAGAAGATTTTTAAAACATTGTGAGAAATGTAAAGAAAATAATGGAAGATTAATTCAAGACGTTCAATTGCAAAACACACAACAACCATATGCACCACATATCACGAAACAGAAGATATATCAGTGGCTATTAGCACATAATTTTGCAGGAATATTATAAACCAACAAGATATTATATTACTTTTGACTTCGAAACATTAGAGACTAAAGAAGAACTTCAACTTTCTGAATGTGCAACTTTGAACGCTTACTTAAAACCATTTATGGTATCATCAACTGTCAAAATAAAGCCGCAAAGCGGCGAGGACGTAGACCGTGATAAAACATTTACGAGGAATTTTTGCTTAACATCAAGTGATTCGTTCATCTCTGATTGGATTGAATTTTTATTTTCAACCTGTTCATTAGTTGCTAAATCAAATATTGAACAATATGAAGAATTAATGAAGACATTAAATGAGAAACAAAAGGAAGCAATGAAAGAGCTTTTAGATGAAGAATTTAATAAAGTGAATATCATTGGTTTAATTCGGGAAAGTTTGATTTAAATTTAATTCTTCGTGATTTAAATACTGCAAAATGGAAGATAAAATCAATGCTGGGTTCATCTTCACAATTTAAGCAATCATTGTAAAGAAAACAAACGTTCCATATGAATTGAGATTTATTGACATCAGAAATTATATAGCGGGTGGAACATTAGACCAATTCACTCAAGATTTCGGAAACAATAAATCACGTGTTAAATCCTTTTTCCCTTATCAATTCATCACATGGGAGAATTACGAAGATGAATTATATAAAAAGGAACCATTCACTCAAGATTCAT